TCTTTTATTCTGTGGAGGCGACGTTTCGACATAGGTTCTAATGTCGCTGTCAAGCAAGTGATACATGAGCAACAAATTGAGAGAATATATACAGGAGTTGTTGTTACAGTAGATAGGAATGAGTGGTTTATACAATAGATGAGGTTGATGTACAATGTTTGTATAAGAGATAGAGTAACTGATAGGAAGCCAGTGGGGTGACATACAAGGGCTGAGTTAGAGCTTATATGACTGATAGGAAGCCAGGTGGATGTTTATACACTATATGGGGTTGATGTACATGGTTGGAATGAAACAGGTAATGTACACAAGGAATATTATTGATTACATTATGAAGTGATGGTAGGCACTGGGAATGTAGTATCCTTCATCTCTGTTGAGGACAGGTCCTATTTTCTTGATGTGTACTGCTTCCAAAAGTTTACGGATTTTGTAGTCTGACTGGTTCTTTACTATGGTTCTGGTCTTGTCCCATTTGATGGTGTGGTTAGGATGGGCTTTGATGTGGTCGGCAATGGCTGATTCACCCTCAGGATCAAGGAACACCAGGCATCAGTCAGAAAAAATTATTCTAAATCAGCCATTGCCGACCACATCAAAGCCCATCCTAACCACACCATCAAATGGGACAAGACCAGAACCATAGTAAAGAACCAGTCATATAAAGAGTTGTATATCCATAATAATTGTCATTATTCTTAATCTGTACTTAACTGAGAAATGCGTTACATTTGACCACTTTCGAAAGTGAGATTGTGTATGGGGGTAAAGATAAAACCTTGTGGGGGCAATAATTTAAAGATTTATTAGAGCAGCGGAGATATCAGTCAGTACTTTTAAACCCACAGTGGCGGGTTTCCTTTCAAACAAGGCTGTTATCAGCTGGCGTGACTTGTTACACGAGTATTATTCACAGGCTGACATAAGAGGGTCGCTGAGTAGGGTTGTATCTAGATAGAGGGTCTAGACCCTGACTAGCTGGAAATAGATTGACTTCATAGTTGTTGTAATCTGTTGATACTTTGCAATTACGTAGCGACCATGACATTAATTTTCAGTTCAAATGTATTATGAAGCCGAATGTTTTCCTGCGTGCTTGCGTGATGTTTTAATCTTCGACTGTCAACATTGTGACACCTTCCCAACTTCGTTTAGGCTAGGATAGTGTACGTCAAGCCCGTGTGTGTTTCGTAGCCATTCAGGAATATGAAATGGTTAGTGGAAACTAGATCCACTAGATGCGTAGCTTGGTTTGATTCAATGCCTGATAGTTCAAACATACTGATGTACAAGAGAATGTTGTTTGTTGGGTTTATGGATAGTTCATGTTTGTTGATCATGTTCACAGACAGACCATAACTGAAGCCACTTCACACCAAACGCCAAATTTCGATTCTAGCGGGGTACGTGTGAAGCAAACTTGTGGTGTCTCTCGCCTTGATATTGCTGGAATATTGCTGTACCTCACTCACTCCATTGTTTTACTTTAGCTAGAGTGAACTCAAGGGAGTTCAACCTACATGTATTTCTTATCTCAAAGTGAAGAGATCTCGACGTAGCAACTCTCATAAACAAACACCCCACGCCTCGCCAAGCCATTACTACCCGTTCGTGAAGTTAATATTGATTTTCACATGGAGCACAGTTAAATTCCTCGACGAGGTTGTACAAAAACGTTATCAACTCGCCTTATCTACCAATTGCGTTACATTACAATACAAGTCCCCGATCCCAATATGTGTGTAACTAACTGAGCACTTGTCTGCGGAGACGGATCTGCAAGGTAAGAAAATTATGTTAATATTTCTCTCATTTAATGATTTTAGTGCACAAAACAAATTGAGATAATTATGGTAGTTAGCTTTAAATACTTGTGATCAGGCTACTCAATAAAGATTCGTACATAAGTTATTCTATTAGTTCAGCTATACGGAGTGAGCAACGTTAATATTTTGAACAGTGTTCAAGTCACAAGTTCAGTTGTTGGCGATAAATAGTCCATTTTCACATTGTATACATTGTACAAAATAGTTCGTTTACATTTAAAGATATATGCTAACTAGTTTTAACCTATTTTGTGATAATCTAGTCATTTTACTGTCCTTCGTTGACAGGGTTTATACATTATGTGTATTTATCATGAATATAGAATTTGTTTTAGTCACGATATGGCTGAAATATTGACGATGTGACTTTAAATCTTAACTCACTCACTCACTTCAAGTCACATGTATTGTGTACGTGTTGTCAATGCTACAACTTTTATTTGTGGTACAGTGACATACAATAAAATAACACATGCATGACCGCTTATATAGACCTGAATTAAAATGATCACAGGGGCCTACTACACTCCAGTCTAAACACAGAGATCAAACATATCAAATCTCGTCGAAATCCAGGTATAAATGTTCTAACGTGCACGAAAACAGGATAAAGTGTCAACAAAAGTATCTTCCTCATACATTATTTTTTGTTTGAACCCAATGCGGTGGTGTAGAATAGTGGTTAAAGCGTCCACTCGTTACGCCTAAGACCCGAGTTCGATTCCTTACATGCGTACGGGTACAATGTGTGAAGATTACTGGTGTTCTCACCGCGATATTGTTAGAATATTGCTAAAAGCGGCGTAAAGCCGTATTCACTCAATGACCCTGGTTGAGCCCCATTTCTAATGTCCCCAATGTAATGTTGTTGAAGTATTTCTGGAATCGGATAAGGAAAATACTCAGTCACTCACTCTGAATAAAACTATTCGCAGTTCATTTCATGAGTGAATGTCTTTAAAAGGAACCTACACGTAAATGTTACATTCTTTTTACATAACAAAACATTATTTCTTTATAACAGCATTACATTCTTATTAAACTGCATACCATTGTATCCTTATTACATAACATTACATTACTATCGCATAACAGAACATCCTTATAACATTACATTCTTATTACACTGAATTACATTACATTATTATTGCATTACATAACATTACACTTTTATTACATTTCAGAACAGAACATTTTTATTACATACCAGAATAATATACATTCTTATATCACTACAATATTTTCTTATTACATTGCATACCATTACATTCCATTCCTATTAGCATACATTCTCATTACATACCGTAACTTTACATTCTTATCACATTCTCATTACAATACATACCAGTATATTACATTCTTATTACATAACATTACACTACCTTCTTTTAACATAGCAATACATTACATTCTTATTACACGATATAACATAACAGTATTATTACATAGCACTAACATTACATTACATTCTTATTAAATTTTCTTATCTAAATAATAATGGTCATTTATAAAACGCCCGTTTACACGTACTTGTGCATGATCAAAGCGCTAACACAGTATTACCCCAGATATCACAAGCTGCCTGTGAGACGCTAGAAGGTTATAGTCACATGACTTATCCCACCGGGTTGCCGGTATTCTGATGGTGAACAGAGCAATTTCGAGATAAGCACTTGCACAGTTGTGAAACCACATGTATAACATTTTGTTCGTTGTGGGGCAGGACTGAAGTCTGAGAAAGTCTTAGGTGTACAAGTGAAGGACCGGGGTAGAATATGCTTTCAGTAACCCATGCTTGTCGTAAGACCCGACTAACGGGATCGGGTGGTCAGGTTCGCTGACTTGGTTGACATAGGTCATCGGTACCCATTTGCTCATGCTTTTCATCACTGGACTGTCTGGTCCAGAGTCGATTATTTACAGACCGCCGCCATATAACTGGAATACTGCTGAGTGCGGCGTAAAACTAAACTCACTCACTCGGGTGTCAAGCTGCCAAACACAACTTAATATAACATTACATTCTTATTACAAAATATTACATCACATTCTTATTAAATAACATTACATCATATTCTTACTACATAACATTCATTCTTATTAAATGACTTGACGTTGTCATTGCATTCGTCTTAATATACTCATGCCAATAATGATTGTCACCCCCTTCAATTTTTTTAATTGGAGAGGGGGTGTAGGGTGGGGTTGAGGTGGTGAGGGGGGTGACAACCATTATTGGCATGAGTATACATTACATTGCCTCAGATTACTAAGTTACATTATTACATTACATTACATATCTTGTGTCAACTATTTTATCATCCGATATGTATGATGACAAAAGCAACGCCTGTCGATTTAAAAAAAATAACTCTAAAAACCTTTTATTCGTGATATAGCTAAAGAACATAAACATGGCAGCTGCTTTCACCTTCCTTCACTGTGCTGGACTCAGGGTTTCACGGTACACGAACTTGTGACTACACTATCTGCAAAACCTAAAACGTATGCTTGGACATAAAGTGCAGATCTATATTTACAGTACTCGTGTTAGCAATACAATACCTGCTTGGCAGAAAATCGATGGTAAAATGAACATGACCTAAATATAGCGTTAACTTTACTCTGCTAAAGGAGCATTGCACTGCCAGCAACGATATCTTGGGCTCAAGTGGTGTGAACGGTATGACATTATTTGAATTATTCTTGGAAACTTAATAGTAATTTAATGATGAAAAATAGTGTATATATTTAGGTCATGTAGGGTTTCCATTTCTCTTTTATTAATCCAGTAGGTAATAACTTACAGTAATATTATTTCACTTAGTAATTCATGAATACTAACACATGGGTGGATAGGTATTATATTTTCGTGAATTGATTTAGAAATCAATACAAAGAAATGAAAATATATGACTATGAAAGTAAAAAAGCGTAGCAGTCCAAAGTCCAAACTGATATAATACCAAAGTGGTAATTATAGTGTTACGGTTAAATAACTGCCGTGACAAAAGGTTTAAGAGTCCCCTTTGAACGAGCAAAATATAACTCAGACAAGTCTAAAATATTCAATGATATATTGAGCAAACAATGAGCAAGCTACAATGAATCACAATACAGACTTCTAATACAATGCAATTGAATCACAAAACTAAAGTTATGGGTCACATATACGAAATATTAACTCACCAGAGTCTTGGTAACCACAGTGAGATAAGATTTTCTAAATGGAGTTGGTTACAAAGAGAGCAGTAGTCAGGGTCAGGCGATGGCGATGGTGACGAAGAACGACAACGATAGGCAACTCCAGTGATATCGAAAGTCCCGTGTAATTCCGTGTGTTAGTCCGTGTGTCAGTTCTTGTGTCGCACCACACAACAGCCAGCCTTTATATATACTGATACAGATTCTCGAACTTTCGCGCAAATCATGCCTGAGTCATTAACCACTTAGATCTTTCTCGATATCGCTGGGAGACTCCCGACATGACGATGTCAACACATAAACATCCGCTCAAGGGAGGTAACTCTGGAGACCTATCCCAAAAGCGTGCCGCTAAAAATGCTATTGCTATTGAACATATATACGACCCACAACCAACACTCAAAACATTGTGACTCATAATAACTATCACCTAACCAATGTTATTACAAACTACAAAAACACACACTCTCGTAACAATAGCAATAAAGACAATGATACCAATATTCACCTCTCGGCAACCGTAATCCAACTTCCAAAATAACGTCTAGGCAGAGTATCCTGGGGTCAAATGCTCGTCACATACTAAGCTGATCTTCTTGTTACTTGAGATGTCATGTAACATGAGATGCAAGAGTTAGTTCCACTTATATATCTACGAAAAAGACTCCACACGATTCTCCAATCCATGCTCATTATATTTATCATTGGCTTCTTTGAGTATTGACCTCCACGTTTTCATGTCGTCAGATAGTGGAACTTTATCAAACTGCAATTTTCAACATAACTATCCCCGCACTTTGAATGTAGGAAGTTTGCTTTTTTACCTGTGTAGAATTTTCATTTTCAAACAAAACACGGCTAGAAACAAACACTAATAACTGTGTGAGGCAAGATGATTGTCAAAATTAATGGTCTACAGTGATTTATCTACCTTCTTGAAAACCACATCCAATGCGTTGTGTTTAGGGGTGGTGATAACGAGAAATAGTGGTGCGTACATAAGATGTGTGTTTGAAAAGTTTGTTACCGCTTAACGTCCAGGTTCCCTACTTCTTTTAAGAGTACATTTCGTCCGATATGTATTCAGTAAATACAGGTGTTTGCCTGAAACATATCATTGTTTTTGTGACTTTTTCACACATTGTTTCATGGACATATCATTCTCTAGCAATGATATATTTTCTTGAATTAGATATTTCGTCGGATATGTGTCCTGTAATGACAGATGTTTATTCGCTTGAATTATATAATTGATGCTTGATAGGCATTTTAGAAGATGCTATTTGATGAACAAGAAGAATTTTTTATTCCTTCATACAACATTTATGGGCCTTTTCCGTCCCCATCATCCGGTAAAAATAATAACAATAAATAATTAACTGCGCCCATGACGTCACAATGCTTATGACGCTACAATTATTGAATTAATTTGGAAATGTACAGACACTTATAAATACATGTCTAGAATGTAAAGTAATTACAGTGTATACATAGAAATTATGATTTACACATGGGTACAGTGTTTCTTATGAAACAATGACGAAGGTAGGCCAAGGGTCTTGTCTACTGTACACACCCTGATCCCTGTTTATTGCTGGTTTTGTGCGTTTGATGCTTTTTGTTTATTTCATTTTATTTTATTTTTTTTGGCGAGGGCTTCGGATTCCCGTCAACTTCATGATTGGGATTATTCACAATGTGTTGATTTCTGGTCTGAAGACTGAAGTGTTCTTTCACACATGTAGCTACTGGTCTGCCTGTGTCACAAATGTATATTAGGCACATGAAGAAACTGCATAGAAAAATTTAAAATCTAAATTTATCAAACCTGTGAGGACACATAAGGATTTACTCTCAGAGATTAGTGACATGTATCCAACATCCATGCACGTGCCACGTTCCGTGACGTCAGTGGGTTCGTCCTTGAGACGTGCAATATGATGTTGCACGTGCATTCCGGGAAAGAGAAACAGAGCAAATGAATGCCACACAATACTGTCACTTTGGAAAGCTCAACCCCTGCCCTTGTGATCGTTCAAAAAGTAAACGGCTATTGAAACGCATAGCATGCCAATGCTCACGTCTGCACAACGTCATGGGGCCATTGGGATGGTCCGTTGGGGAATGTCTCAACAACATTTCCACTGCCACCGGAACACCATTTCTGCACTGGTGAGACGCTACCAGAACACGAATGACGTCATCGATCGACCACGTTCTGGACGTCCACCTGTAACAACGCCAAGACAGATGGATAAGGGTGACCCATCTTCGCCACAGGTTTCAGACTGCAGTGATGACTGGCAGAACCATACTTCGCCATATGCACCCCAACACAGTTCGACAACGTTTACGTCATTACGGGATCAGACCACGACGTCCCGCCATACGGCCTATCCTGACACAACGTCATCGACAAGCTCGCCGAATGTGGTGTCGAAATCATGTCCGCAGACCCTTGTTTTGGTGGAGAAATGGTTTTTTTACAGATGAGTCCATGTTTAACATTTCCCATAGTGGTGGACGTCAACGTGCCTATAGACGCGTGGGAGAACGTTATGCACAGGCCTGTGTCTTGGTGAGGAATCGCTTTGGTGGTGGTGGTTCCGTGATGATTTGGGGTGGAATAACAGCACGCCAAAGAACTCCTTTGGTGATTGTTCAGGGCAACTTAACTGGTGTGGGCTACAGGGATCAGTGTCTACGACCTGTGGCAATTCCTTTACTGCAACGTCATGGCCCTGTGTTAACATTCCAACAGGACAATGTCCGCCCTCATACGGCAAGGGTTGCTATGGATTTCTTGCAACACCACAACGTTGACTTACTGCCTTGGCCTGCAAATTCACCGGATCTCTCCCCGATAGAGCATGTTTGGGACGAGATGGATCGACGTCTACGCCGTCTTCCTCATCCGCCAGATAACGTCCTTGACCTTTCAACAGAACTTGAGAGAATCTGGCGTGACATCCCACAAGCCTTCCTTGCACGTTTGATGGACTCTTATGGGTCGTCGATGTACTGCTGTTCTCAATGCCGATGGTGGACATACCCGTTATTGAGCTTGTGACATGGTCGTTTGACCCATGCCCCGCTTGTGGTTGACTTTTCAATTGAAATTCTCCCGACTTGTTATGGTCTCATGATCCCTCCATTAAAGTTTATATGTACCTTTGACATTGTTATCGCACTTATCGACTGGGATAATACTTTGACAATGCACTGTTTCTTTATGTGGCTAGTATAGATATCACCACAGTCACATCTCAGTTTATACACACAGCCTTTTGGGTTGCAGATAGCCTGAATGAGTTTTAAGGGTTTTGCCAAGCGAGAAAGTTGTGTCAATGCAGGGCGGTTTTTTTAGACGTCTGCTGACTTGGTGGCTGATGAGCCCAACATACGGGAAGTTGATGCGGATGGGAGATGGTTCAGGTTTTAAAGGACGCTGAACTTGATCTTGTTGTGTTTTCTTTATAGTGGTTTCTACAAGGTTCGTAGGATAACACATCTATGTGATGGATGTTGTCTTCAGGTGGTCTACTTCTTGTTGCAGTAGGTCAGGGCTACAGATTGTTTTCGCGCGTCTCGCAAGTGTGGCAACAGCTGCTCTTTTGATTTGGGGATGGTCGTTTGAGTGGTGGTGAATATATTGGTCTGTGTGGGTACGTTTGCGATAAACCGACGTGATGAGCTGGTTATTGGAGTTGTCAATGGCGATATCCAAGAAAAGGACTTTGTTCTGCTGCCCTGTTTTCATCTTAAACTAAATTCTAGGCTGTTGATTGTTTGAGGCTGTTTAGGAATGCATTGGGGTCATGATGGTTGTCTAGGATAGAGAATGTATGATCAACTTTTCTGTGCCAAAATAGTGGTTGGAGTGGTGAAGTAGCCAGAGCATTCTTCAAAGTTTCTTATGAACACCTCAGCTATTAGCGGTGAGAGTGGAGATCCCATGGGTAGACATGAATCTGCTGATATATCTGGTCTTGCCATGTGAAATAGGATGCTTAAAAACAGCTGGATACAAGGCTGCCGATGCTGTCGATGGTTAGTTTTGTGTCGATCTGGTCTATACAGGACTCTAATCGTGATCGCAGGATTGCTAGGGATTCCTCTAGAGGAATATTAGTGAACAAGTCTATCACATCATAACTGACCATGGTGCCACTAGTTTGGTAATCCGCAAGTTTGTTAACAAACGATGATGAATCACTGACTAAGGATTTACCTTATTTGCCTGAAACGCATTGTGGCGTCATGGGCACAGTTAACAGTTTATTAGTTTTACCTCATGATGGGGCCGGAACAGGCCCCGAAATGTTGTATGAAAGATTAAAAGAAGATGAAATCCAGAAAATTCTTTATGTTTATTATTTAATGGATGTTTGTTCAGTAAAGATTTGTGTACAGTACACAGTGTTTCATGGTTCTTTCTCTCGCCATAATATTGTTTCTTCAGTGAAAAGGCATATGACTCTGTAGGTTCTTTCTGTAAAGCGGTATCAGTCTGAACTTGATTTTTTCAGGATACCATAAAGTTATGGTTGAATAGATCGAAAAGATGGCAGAGTATGGCAGCATGGATTGAAAGTAAGTATAATCTGTAATATTTAATAATACACCATCCATAGGACTTTTACCTCAGGATCGAATGTAACTCTATTTAAAGGCTTCCAATTGTATTTAGTGATTACTATATTCAGAACTGAAGGCCATTTGGCTGATAATACAATTATGTTAACGTACGTTTTGCATCAGGAAAATACATATCCCTTTAAGAACATTAATATTTTGTGTCTTCATAAGGGCTCGAAATTTGACAATTAAAGATGGGCTCTAAATATAGGCTTCCAGAAAGTTTAAATTACATTTATTACAAACTACTTCATTATATGGAAACATTAACTTTGGGAAAACGTTATTTTTGTATATTCAAGTTATGTGATTGACATCGGAACTTGATTAACATTTGCATTAAACCTTTGTTTAATGCGTCAAAGGAAATATACAGTTCAGATACTAGAAGTCATTTAAATGTACTGCAGTTTACAAGAAATGATACGCGAGTTACTTATTTTCATTTCTAGTGTTGTATATTGATTTATATACAACAGTGCTTAAAATCTAACATGAAATTATCTATATCGCTGCAATCTTGGGCTTAACAGACATGGGAAAATCATAACATAACAGGTAAAAGTAGAAATGTTGTTCTCTGTGGCATCGACTTGGGACCCTTCTGTCATAATGTGATTGTTCCTATTACTGCAAATGTATCTGAAAATGTTTACACAATGCATTCATGGAAAATAACACGTTTAACAATCATAACGAAGTTAAGCATTGTACTTAAAATGTTTATGTATGGAGACTTGGTCTCGTCGCTATATGACTGAAATAATGCTGATGGCTAAATACTTCGAAAAGATGGCAGATTATGGCAGAATGGATTGATAGTAAGTATCGTCTGTATTGTCTAATCATACACAATTATGATAACATGTCTTTTATGTCATGATTGACTATAACTCCAGAACATAAATGTGTATGTTGTCATAATGCAAATATATGACTGAAACATGTTACCATAATTGAAAATGTTGATCATTATGGCATCTACGTGCAACCCTTCTGTTGTAAAGTAAGTGTTCCTGCCAACGGTGCATATATCTAAGACTGTGTTTTCACGGACAATTAAACATTTTCTTCCACTTTCTGTGGACATGTTAACCGTTCTATCTTCTTTCCGAACAGGTTGTTGTGACTGTGAAGAGGTAGCAACAGCCTTCTCCTCTGCTTACAACGGAACTTATCTCTTCTTGATACACCTTGATGTCAACCTATTTTCTTCTAAACTTAAACATAACGAGACTAAAAAGAGAAAGTTGAAAGAATTTGAGAAGAAAGTATCAGCATTAAGAAATACCTCAGGCGGTAAGATCCTTATTCATGTGCACGGTCAAGATCCAAAAGATAGGTATCTTGGGCACTTTGACAACTTTACTGACGCCTGCCTGAAAAATCTAATCCCTGATGGACAACTGTTCACGGATGTTTACAGACGTCGGTGGTTACAGGAAGAATTTCCCGGTTTTGAAAGTACTCCTGTTCTTCTCCTCACTGTAAACAAAGCACGGTTTGTATGTACAGTACATTTTCACACAAAGGTCGCATCGGATTTTATGATTGAAAATGCGTCGACCATTGGTTTCGTCTCTCTTTTGTCCAGAAAGGTGATCACAACAGCGACAGAACCAACACTAAGAGGAATCCACAACTTTGAGAAACGACTTCATGAAAACAGACACATTGAACTTAAAAGTGTGTTCACGAAGAAAGAGCGAACATTTCATAACATTTCCTCGTTTATTGATTACATCTGGACTGATCTGAGATTCAGGGAAAACTTATGTTCCATGTCAAAACTTGAAGGAGGGGGTTCTTTCTTCGTGGGAATTAACGAAAGGAATGGAGGTGGAACGTACGACTCAAGGGAAA